TTAAAAAATCAGAGATCGCCAGCCAGCCAGTCAACCGGACACCATTCCCCCAGCGCACAAACACGTGATTTCTGGTTTTGCTCTTCGTTCTCTTTCCAGCTCATCGAGAACTAAAGCTAGCTGACACCACACCTTAAAGTTACTTATGTATTCTTTATATTAAGAGAAAGTATGGAATCATCTGGTAAAAACAGACAAATTGGTGTACGCTTGCATTTATCGTGACGGACCCCACGGCCTAGCCCCACGACCTGCACGCTTTGCCACAGGTTCGCCCGTGGAGACCCGCGGTGTGCCTGGCAGGGTCATCGCGCTGATGCTCTTCCTCCTCGTCCTGTTGCTCTACACGTGTTACTCGGCCTCCATCGTCGTGCTCATGCAGCGGACCTCCACCACTATTAGGCACTACAGAGACTTAACCAGCTCCCAGATGTCGGTCGGCGCTGTCGACATCCCGTACATCTGGCACTACATGGTGGTGAGCGGGTTAATATAATAATAATAAATATAGTTCTTAGTTATTTCACAGCATATTTTGAGACAAAAAGCATACTGTCTTTAACAAAGATATATGCGTAAGTGATAATGTAATTTTTCGGCAGCATTTATTTCATCTTTTATAAACTACAAAGAAATTGCTTTCAATTAAATATGATCGAATTTATTCAAAACAAAGTCAGGACGACTAGATTAAGCAGGGAGGATGGGGCAGTGTGTAACAGATTTTGGGATTTGGCTATAAGAGTCAAACCACGAAAAAAAAATGGGTAAATCGGGCGCAAAAGAATAGATTGGACCTTTACTAAACATGAAAGTTGCTCGGATGTATTACTAGGCGAATTCCCGTATGACCTAGAGCTTGTTGAACAAAGGTCTGCATTTGTTACACACTGCCCCGCGCCGGGGCAGTGTGCAACGACAGTGGGGCAGTGTGTAACAAATGCTAGGATTGAGCTCTAGAGACAGCTAGAAAGGGAGAATACAGCTTCCCCTTCCTTTCTATGTTAGTTGCTGATACAAATACAGTTTTTATCAACTAATTTTACTGTTTAAAATGGAATTTTCTTAAAATTTACGTATTTCTAATTGAAAACATCAAATTGGTACTTATTTTGGATATAATTTGTGAACTTGAACTATAAACAAAAAGTTGTGCCTCAGTGAGACTGTTAGGGCACAGGCACATAATTGATAAGCAAATATTAATAATAATAATCTTATTACACACTGCCCCAGGGTACACAGCCTGTTATGTGTCCTCGTAGACCGAGAACCCTCGAAGTTGTGTTAGTGACAACGACCATTTTACAAGTGCTAAGGTGTCTACTTCGATAGAAAATCATTAGTTCGGGGGTTGTCTGTAACCCAACGACCTCAAACAAAACGATCATGTCGTTATATGATGAAAATTACCTCAAAATCGGGTGAGCCCAACCTGGCCGTCCTCTCACCGCCGTTACAACTCCACAACTAAGGCGTTCTCGATTGTAAACAACCTTAGTCATTCAGAACACATAATATGAACATTCACATTTGGTTCCGGACGCGTGACGTATATGAAATACGGAGGTCTGTTACACACTGCCCCTGTTACACACGGCCCCACCCTCCCTTACATTATTTAGTCAATACCGACCAGTGCAATCAAATTTCCGTCCGTATCAAAAAAGTACATAATGATAAAATTTTGATAAGACTAGACAATAATAAAAGCAAATGACAAATGGGGGAGGGCATGCCCTCGACGCGTCGAGCAATAGGTGACAGCCGATGACAGCGGCCC